ACAAAGTGACCAGGACAAAGTGACCAGGACCAAAGTGACCAGGACAAAGTGACCAGGACAAAGTGACCAGGACAAAAGGAAAGACCACAAGAGAAGGAAGATGAACTGATGACAAGAACACAAAAATTGTAACAACTTAGGCCAGGCCAGTTGTGGTTGCTAGAACATTTCCCCACCAGTAACGCGTGATTGGCGCCAAGCGCTCTGTGAGGACATCATGTTATATTATGTGTAATTATTGCACGCCGCCTATACCAGGTCCCCCCCCCCTTCCCTCGTCCACCCTTGAAAGTTCACAAGAAAAGATGAATGCTGGGTGTGATGGAAAGAAGATAAGTAACATAACATAGAAGTTCCAATATTTCCCACGGATGACTCTTTTTGAAAAGCTGTGAAAAAACAAAAGTGCTGTCCATACGTTTTCCTTTTGTTGTTGTTTTGTTTGTTTTTTGTTTGTTTATTTGTTTATTGTTTTTTTTCGTTGTCCTTTGTCGACAGCATGGACACCAGTCTTTGTATCCACAGTGCATGACTTAGACATTAGAGAAAATAAGGTGGAAAAAAGAATCAAACAGGACATAAATGGGGTAGTATGGTACATTATATAAATGAAGCAGTGTAGTAGATATGGGGAAGTATACTATAAATGGGGCACTGTTGTATAAATGCGGCAGTCTAGTATAAATAGGCAAAACAGTAGTATAATAAATGGGGTAGAAGAAGATAAATACGGACAAATTATACAAATGTGGAAAACAAGAGAAACGCAACACGTAAGGCATGAAATAATCAACTGTGTCCGCGACGAAGGGAAATGTCGAACTTTGACACTAGAAGTTGTTCTGAACCTAACCGGGAGGTCTAGATTCTGGACTAGTTCGTTTTAGTTAATGAGAGACTTTTTGAGTTTTGAAAGTATCCTTTGTCTGTGGATGTGGATGGACAAGGGACTGGGTGAGGAGATGGGGGCCTCAGAAAAAGCTGTGCTCCATGTTTCTAAGATGGCAGACGGCAAAATGAGACCTACAAAAATGAACCTGCGCATTCGTTACTGTCACCGAGAAGTCAATCAGAGGCTCAGATTGATCAGCTCCGAGCTTCTCATTTATGTAGCATCACAGAAGCACACAGTGCGGTAGAAAAAAGCAGTAGGAATTCAAAAAAATATAGCTACGAAATAGGGAAATCTGTGAGATACATAAACATCAGTTGCACTACAAGTTGAAGAACAACAGTCCACTACCCCCTGAGATCCAACAGGGGAGCGCAAAGAAGAAATAAGGAGATTACAATAAAGAAATATTCATTTGTCAATATCAGCATGCAGGCTACAGTAGCGTAAGAAGGAAACTACAAGCATAAACAGACAGGACAAGCATAAATAGACAGGACAAGCATAAATACACAGGACAAGCATATATACACAGGACAAGCATAAATAGACAGGACAAGCAGAGCCTTCTCCGATATGTCGTTATTGTTACAGAAACCACGCACCCTAAGACACAGTCAGCCCAACACCGTGTGAATGTCTAGCAAGCAGAGGAGATTACAAGTAGATCTACACACACACACACACATGCAGCTAGTACATACGGTGAGAGAAGGAAAATAAAGCACAATGAAGCATGGTGATGATGATGATGATGATGATGATGATGATGATGATGATGATGATGATGACGATGATGATGATGATGATGATGACGATGATGATGACGATGATGATGACGATGATGATAATGATAATGATGATGCGGAGACGAATACGATGTAAGGATGATGATAGAGTGTTGACGATGATGTATTGACTAAGTCTACAGACAACTGTTACTACTGCTACTTTGACTTACCGCTCTTTAGCGTCCAGGAAAGCTTTGGCGAATGGATTGTGCTTGATTTTCAAAGCTGTGATCTGAAAGTAAAATACGACAAAAGTGAAAGACGACGAAAATAAAAGACGATAAAAGTGAAAAGACGACGAAAATAAAAGACGACAAAAGTGAAAGACGACGAAAATAAAAGACGACAAAGTGAAAGACGACGAAAATAAAAGACGACAAAAGTGAAAGACGACGAAAATAAAAGACGACAAAGTGAAAGACGACGAAAATAAAAGACGACGAAAATAAAAGACGACAAA